TTACCTTCTACAATTACCTAAACTTACAATCATTCATACCCAAGGCTTAAAATGTCATACAAGTTAGGATTACTCTCTTCAATGATGTTGTTACTAGCAGTGGGTATCAATGCTGGTGGCATTGCTATCTACTGGGGTCAAAACGGGGGTGAGGGCACGTTGGCTGAGACATGCTCGACAGGGAACTATGATTTCGTAAACCTTGCATTTCTTCCAACTTTTGGAAACGGTCAGACCCCCATGATTAACCTTGCAGGTCACTGCGATCCATACAGCAATGGCTGCACCAATTTAAGCTCTGAAATCAAATCATGTCAAGCTAAAGGAATCAAAGTGATGCTGACTATTGGAGGAGCAGCTGGGAGCTACTACCTCACCTCTGCTGCAGATGCCAAACAAGTCGCCACTTACCTCTGGAATAACTTCTTAGGAGGGAAATCGTCCACACGTCCTCTTGGTGAAGCTGTTTTGGATGGAATCGATTTTGATATCGAAGGAGGAACCACCCAACACTGGGATGACCTTGCCAGGTATCTTTCTGGATACAGCAGTCGAGGCAAAAAGGTGTACTTGACAGCAGCTCCTCAGTGTCCTTTCCCAGATGCATATATTGGAACTGCCCTTAAAACGGGTCTTTTTGACTATGTTTGGATTCAGTTCTATAACAACCCTCCTTGTCAGTACTCCGGGGGTATGAACAGTTTTGAAGATTCTTGGAAACAGTGGACGTCTGAGATCCCAGCAACCAAGATTTTCTTGGGGCTGCCTGCATCACCTACGGCTGCAGGAAGCGGGTATATCTCTGTTGGTGACCTAACTTCCAAAGTGCTTCCAGCGATCAAAGGTTCTGCAAAATATGGAGGAGTTATGTTGTGGGATAAGTATCATGATGATCAAACTGGATACAGTTCTTCCATCAAAACCCATGTGTAGTACTCTATAAAATCCATGGTTGTACAACTTCATCGCTTGTATAATTAATTACCCCTTGTGAGAATAAAATAATATTGCTTATATATTTTTCTGTTTCATCTTGCTCCCGTATTTTCCCTGCTATCACCCTTCACGATTTAAAGAGCCACGTACCCAGGTGCACTACAGCTCCATATATATTTGTTTCAGGTCTGCGAATGAGCATCTTTGCGTCCATCCTGTCCGTTGAGTTTTGTATGACGCTTTTTTCATGAATGTAAATATTGTGTTGCCTGTGTATTAGGATACCGATGGTAACTTACTAAACAAGTGCCACAAAATCGATTCAAGCTCAAACACTATGGCTTTTAATGTACATTGGATCTATTTGCTCTATTAGAATATGTCCAAATCTTCTGGGCAATAGTTCTCTCATCATACTTTATTTGGCATCTTGTAAAAATTAATAGCCAAGTACGTTGATGAAGTTTTTGATTATTTATTAGTGGTTATTAAGATATCCTACAACTAAGGAATCATGTAATCTAAATCAATATAATCAAGTGTTTGTAAGGATTTACAGCTTTCTAAAGAATGATTGTTGCAATTTCCATACTCAGTAATTCTTGTAAATTCCCTGAGAATGACATGGTATTTCTTGAACTCAAAATAAAAAATGTATCTCCTTTGTTTGGACTGGATGCGAGTAAGTTCTAGCGTTTACTGAAATATATCTAACAATCTCTAGTTGCAGATCCAAACCCTAGGTTTCACTAGCAATGCATATCATATAATTCAATCGTTAAGACAAAACAAAAATAGATTACACAGTTACGCCGTACTTAATCCAAATTCTAAGTGAGGATTTCTGAAATGAAACAAGTCATCTAAATATACACTTTGTTCAAGCATGTAAATCACTAAATTATCTGTTATGGGTCTTTTTGAGTCCTTTGCTTTATTTTGTTTCCGTTTTTATTTTTGCATCATAAGCTAAACTGTTGGGCTTCAGTTTCTTTTCTGTTATTAGTCCTTTGGTTGGTCTCTCTCACCTGGTATATATAGGTGTTATCCTGATGTACGACTCAGGAATAATTTTATGAACTTCTACTATTTCATCAGGGTTGCCCTGTGAAAGTCTTATATAAACCCTAATTCCATTGTTGAGCTTAACAGTGGTATCAGAGCTGCCATCCTATGCCTGTGGTGTATGGTGAGGGTCACGAACACACAAATAATGGAGAAGTATGAAGAGGTCAGTCGTAAGATTGAGAGTCAAGAAGCAACATTGCAGGCTATTCAAGCAAGTCTAGCTGAATTGACAACCACAGTTAACGCTCTGGCCATAACGCAAGGGAAAAAGGGAGTGAAAGGAGCAGGTGCAAACCCATCTGACTTCTTGGATGGAGAAGGGTCTGGGGCATACTCTGCTGACGAAGGGGCAGAGGGAACATTTGCAAGTCATGGCACGAAGGGGTACCAATTGGTGAATAGGATGACTAAATTAGAATTCCCATCATATGATGGTGAGGGCTTCAAAGATTGGCACTATAAGTGCAACCAGTTTTTTGAATTGAACAATACTCCAGAGGACATGAAAATTCGTTTAGTAGCAATTCATTTGAAGGGTCGGGCACTCCAATGGCACCAGGGATTTATGAAGGAGTCGGAAGGCAATCAAGTGCCCTGGAAGACATATTTACAGGAGCTTAGGGAACAATTTGTTGAGGGAGAGGTATCTAAACCTTTGATTGAACTCAGGAATCTCAAACAATCTTCGACTGTAAGCAATTACAATTTCCATTTTAATGCCCTTCGTAATCAAGTCAGTGTTCCAACAGATATGCTACTAGATTTGTACATCGGAGGACTCTCAAATGAGATTATGCATACAGTCCAGTTACTGGATCCCAAATCCTTAAGTCAGGCAATGAAATTAGCCAGACTACAGGAAGGCGCCTTGTATTCATTATGGGGATTAGACCCTCCAAAACCTCCCGAGTATACCAATCTCACTCAACAAAGTTCTAACCTCGACACCAGAAACGAAAATGTTTCTTCATCCCCAGCACCCACTTTACTTCCTGCACCTAAGTATTAGCGAGAACTATTTCAGCCATAATTTCAGCATAATTATGTTGTATATTTTGTATTTACTGTATAGTATATGTTCCTAAATTAGCTCTTTAGGTGATTAGACTTTCCTCAATTATCCCCCTGTAATCTTGTATATATTCTAGCTCATATCAATGAAAGGGGCATCAAATCTCAAACAATTACATGGTATCAGAGCTAAGGGCTCAATACCAAAACTGATTTCTTTCACAGCCACGGCTGTGCAGCCTTCTTCCTTTCTAATTTTTTTCCAGGAGCCCCCTGTCTTATCATGTCTGGTGAAAATCAGACAAACCCTACAAAGGCAATCCATCCCGTTTACACTGTTACCAACATACAGACCAAAGTAAGAGTACTTGATGGCACCAAAGTCACGTATTCCTCCTGGGTTCGTTTGTTCAAACTACACGCAAAAGGCTACAAAGTTTTATCTCATATTGACGGAACAGCATCCCCTGCAAAAACAGATCCAACATATGACACTTGGTCAGAAATTGATGCTATTGTCCTTCAATGGATCTATGGGACCATATCCGATGATCTTCTTGGTCAGGTCCTTGATCCAGCCTCTACTGCATACGAAGCCTGGTCCAAACTTCAGAACATCTTCCTAAATAACAAAGGTTCTCGAGCAGCAGCCCTAGAACATGAGTTCAATAACTTAACCCTTCGAGCCATGACATCCCTTGAAGCGTCTCTCCGGGCAACTGAATGATGTAGAGTGCCCTGTCAACGAGAAACGCCTCGTCCTGCAACTAGTCCGTGGATTGCCCTCTGAGTTTGACACAGTGGCCGCCTACATCAATCAGACCTCTCCCACATGGGATACTGTCTGTTCGATGTTACAACTCGAGAATCAAAGACAACGAGCCCGAGATACTCACTCACCTGTGGAAGTCGCTGCTACTGTTGATCATGAATCGGGACCTAACCCACCACCAAGACGTGGGGATTTCACCAACAAAACTCGTCCTTCCCAGCAACGTAACTCCAATCGCCGATTCCCACCATCTCGCTCTCAAAACAGGGAAAATCCAGCGCCTCCTAGTCGCCAACAATCTGTGCACCAGAACAATCGGCGCAATCTTCCTCCTGGCCAGAATCGCCCCTCATGGTCCACTTATCCGCCTCCTTATTGGGCCGCTCCTTGGTGGGCTTCACCGCCACCATGCCCATATCCTACTCAGCCTGGTTGGGCCTCACCTTGGCCTGCACCTCTCATACAGCAGCAACAAGGTCGACCACCACAAGCCCATATTATAGAAGTAAACCCACTGTAACCATCAGAACTTGGAGCAGCTTTCTCGGCAATGACTTTGGACCCAAACGATGAACAGTGGTACATGGATTCAGGAGCAACAACTCATCTTACTGGGGATGCAGGTAAAATCTCAATTCCAAGTATGTCATCTATAAAATCGGTATTTGTTGGAAATGGTAATCAAGTGCCAGTCATTGGATCAGGTCACTCCCTTTTACCAAACCCACATAAACCATTTCATCTCAAAAATATTCTTCACACACCCAACGTCATCAAAATTTAATATCTGTACGTCAATTTTGTCGAACTAATAACTTATCTGTTGAATTTGACTCCTATGGTTTTTCTATAAAGGACTTCAACACTGGGATGCTCCTAACGAGGCACAATAGCGATGGTGACCTCTACCCCTTCACAAAGCCAGAAACAGCTCCAATTTTCTCTTTTTTTATTTCATCTAGTTCATCCTTTTGGCATTCTAGACTAGGTCATCCAGGACATTCTGTAATGGATTTTCTTAGTTCAAATAAACATATCTCTTGCAATAAAAGTGATCGTTCTTTTGTTTGTCAATCTTGTCAAATTGCTAAGCACAAACGCTTACCTTTTCCTACCTCCACATCCACAGGGAAAATTGGAACTGTTAGCCAGGAACCATTTCACAGGGAAAATTGGAACTGTTAGCCAGGGAAATCTGGAAACTCTGATTTCTATGGATATTAGCAATAACCTTTTTATAGGTGTGATCCCTGATTGGATAACCAACATCAGGGGATTGACTCAACTTGTGGTGAGAAATAATAGTTTCAAAGGCAGGTTTCCTTGTGGAATAGCACAATTCTCTGTTCTTGATATCTCACAAAATTATTTCTCTGGGCCCATCCCATCCTGCTTATTAAAATTTCAAATTTCAAATATGCAGCATCTTCATATGGGTTCCAACAGATTTACTGGATCGGTACCTAAATTCTTTCGTAGTTTGACTATTATTTTGACTTTGGACATCAGCAACAATGATTTGTCAGGCAGGATTCCTAAATTTCTTGGCAAACTATCCACTTTAAGGATTCTTCTTTTGAGAAAAAATAAATTTAGTGGTTCTATTCCAAAGCAGTTGTGCAAATTACGTGATGTGAGTTTGTTAGATCTATCGAATAACCATCTTTCTGGTTCAATACCTAGCTACCTTCAAAACATTACCGGGGGGTATGACCTTGCTTTCATAAAAAGAGGCAGATGGGGATTTGGATTTTCCATTGAATCCTCTTACCATTATGAGAGTACTAATTTTGGGTTTCGTCCGTCGATCCCCACTAGTGAAACAGTGGAAACACAAAACGAAGTTGAGTTCACAACAAAAACGCTCTTTCTCCACTACAAGGGTGACATCCTTGATTACATGACAGGATTGGATTTATCTTGTAACAAACTCACAGGTGAGATTCCAGGAGAACTAGGGTTGCTGAGCCAGATTCGGGCTTTGAACCTGTCTCACAATCAGCTGACTGGACCAATCCCAGTGAACTTCTCAAATCTTGCGAATATTGAGAGCCTGGACCTTTCTTCAAATGGATTGACCAGCATAATTCCATCACAACTGGTTCAGCTGACTTTTCTAGAAGTTCTTAATGTTTCTCACAACAATCTATCGGGTAGACTCCCAGAAATGAAAGCACAGTTTGGGACCTTTACAAAGGCTAGCTATGAAGGCAATCCACTTCTTTGCGGACCACCGCTGGAGAATAAATGCACGATAGAGCCACAGGTAACCGATCCATCTCTTAAAGAAGAGAGCTCTGAGAAATGGTATGATATTGATATGGTGTGTTTCTATGGAAGTTCTAGTGCAACATGTGTTGTGTTCTTGTTGGGATTTGTCGGGCTTCTTTACGTCAATCCTTACTGGCGCAGAAGGTGGCTAGACATGGTTGGAGAATGTATGTATATATGCTATTACTTCCTTTATGATTCGGTAAGGAAGCCTTGTATGATCTTCCATAACTAAGTCCCATTGAAGAAGATGTGATGAAATAAACACGAGCATGCTTTTCATATCTATTTATATTTTTCTGCTTTGATATATGTATAATGATGCACAAGAAGACCCTAATGATTATTGAAAGTGTTATTTTCCCAGGAAAATGTGACATTGCATTCACAGTACAATATATACATATTATAATATTAGGCTACAAGGGTTACATCGACTAACTAGACTATACAAAGTAATGGGCTATATAAAATACATACACTAATCTCGTACAAAATGAATGTCAATCTCTCTATGGTTCATGCGTTGGTGTTGTACGATTTGATAATTAAACTGCACTAACATTATCGTAGTATGCAATGGTTGCTTTGTTGAGATGTGAGTGAAGTTCTCAAAGAAGATTTTAGTTGGGGCAAACTGAAAGGAGTTTACTCAGACAACAACCATTTCATAGGGAAAATTCGAATTAAGAGCGGTGAGGAAAAGCTTGAACATTTAAGCCTTTTTTATATTAGCAATAACTTCTTTATAGGTTTCGTCACCCCTCGTTGGTTGGATAAGCAAAATCATTTGGTTGAGTTGGTTGTCTGAATTTGTGAGAAATAACACTTTTGAAGGCCGGTTTCCTTGTTGATCAACTTCATGGACATAGGTAACAACTTGTAATTTAACAAAGGTTTTGATTATGAACATAGGTACCAACTTGTCGGGTGGGATTCATAAATTTTTTGGTGATCTATCTTATTTAAGGATTCTTCTTTTGAGGAAAATGCTCCTATTCCCCGGCAGCTTTCTCAGTTACGTATTGTTGAGTTTCTTAGAATCCAAATACAATGTTTAATGTACTTAAAAGTAATACAAGGCAAGCATGAGCAATCCATAGAGAGACAAGGTTAATTTCTATACCTCTTTGTGTAATCCATGGATTATTCTAGACAGTTTAGTGGAATGCTAGCAGGATCGCAACCTGTATGTGTTTATGAACGATGTGTTCACCCGGTGTACTTCATCCCCCTCATGGTTGCCTTACTGACATATATTGCTAAGGAATTCCCTAAGCAACATTGTTTTCCCGATGATGATCCTTAGGATAGGTCCCTTAAATTAGATACTTTATGGACAAAAAGTGAGGATAATGAGAACGGGTAATCGGGTTGAATAATTTGATGAAATTAAAAAACTTAATTATTGTGGGTTGAAAATCATATGTGCTCACCAGGCTCCCAATCTTAACCCATTCAGTTTATTATATTACATCTAGTGGCAAAAGTGCACATGTGTGATGATCAGATGAGAGATATTGATTATAGGCCATTAGAATAGATGTTTGTAAGGCCTGTACTATTTATGTTTATGTGTATGTATTGTATTGACGATGACACCCAATATTTTTAATATAATTATAATACCTTTCTTTGGAAATGCTTTGATAAAATCTTTATCATGTTTTTTAGAACAAATTCCGTAACATTATTTTTCAAAGGATACTCTGATTTTAAATAAAGCATAAACAAATCGGTCTTCCCTGGCCGTGAAATTAGGGATGTCACAGTTGGTATCAGAGCATTAGTTTAAGCAAATTAGGAATTTGTAGGATTTCTAGACTTAAATTTAGAATGATAAGCGATGATTGTGAGATAAGTGTCTGCTATACATAGGCACAAGCACTAGCTTATTTTAGGAACGATGCCTAAATTACTTTTATGTGCTACATGATTTATGATACTGTTAGGGTGCAAAGTCACGCTTGGATTTATTTGTGTTTTATCCACTTGTATTGTGTAATGAGTTGTCTTTCCTATAAATAGGAAGTGAGTGACACTCATTTATATAATGAACACTTTAAGAGCATTAGTTTATAGAGAGAAATTGCAAGACCCATTTTTACTCTTTCTGTCAATACTAATGAGAGCTAAACCCATATTTATTTACTTAATGTGTTCTTGATTTTGTATGATGATTCACTAGATCTTTTCTAATTCTGCACATGCCATCATAATCAACAACACTACAATTGGTATCATAGCGGGTGTTCTTGGTTTGATCAAGAATTGATCCATGGTGGCATTCTTGATTTGGTGATTCTTCATTGTGTTTTGATCTTCGTGTTATTGAGAGTTTGGATTCTAGAAATCGAATTCATCATTGATTCTATTCATAATTTGATTTTCTTCACTAGAATTCAAGTGCTTTTTGCTTTCTCTCTCTAGAAAACCCATTCAAAATCACTTTCTCTCTCTAGAAATTTTCAAGTTCTTATGATCATGGTGGATTTGTCATATGATTCTTGGATTGTGATCATTGAAGATATCAAATACAAATTCAATGAAGATCAATTTTATGGGTTGGTGTTAAGCAAATTGATTTCAATGGGTAATATGGTTTCTTTTGGAGATTTGAAGGATGATAATGGAAGCTTGATATTTCAATCACTTTGTAAGATTATATGGTTGAATAAACTTGCATTGTCCATATTAGTCTGTAGTAGAAATCACAAGGAAGGAGAAGAAAGAGATTTTTTTAATAAGAAATAGATTTCTCTAATTGAAAACCCAAATGACCTTCGTGCTCTTAAGTTTGTTGAAGTTCAAGACTATGGAGTTCAATGTGATGTTCTTGATGTTCTTGAAGTTCATGACAAGAAGATTCAAGTTGATTCTTATGAAGATGCAAAAGTTTTTTGCTCGATTGGAGTTCAAACCGATGATATTTTGTGTTCTTGTGATTCGTTTGAAGGAATGATTCCTTATCGGAAGCCGGTGATCCAAGAAATTCATAAGTATCAAACTCCAAAAGATTTGATTCAAACTTATAAAGTTGAAGTTGTGGGAAGTGGTTTTGTTCATGAAATCAAGTCTTCAAGATGCAAAAGATGAGAAAGAAAAAGAAGAAGAAGATTAAATGGAAGAACAAGCGGATTTATTCAAAAAAATCTTCAAATGTTGTTGTGAATCCGAAATCCATGAAACAAGATGTTCTTGGATCGTTGAAGAACACGAAGAACGAGTTGTACATCACGCATAGTGGGTGGTACAATGTTTAAATTGGAGATTTTCTCATTCTAAAAAAAGAACCAAGATCTTCTAAATTTGTTTAGTTCGTTGCAAATGGAACTCGATTCGTCAAAAAGGTATCTCAAATTCTCAAACAGATTCCAAAACACACATGATTTTAATTCAAATGTTGCATTTTTCATTTTTGATTGACTTGCCTCATTGGATCAAATCCGTTTCAACCCCATTGTGTGATCCAATTATTTTTGTTTTGATCAAATCACAAAATCAAAATTATTTTCTATCATCTCAATTTTAATTGTTCATTATAAGCCCATTATGTTGAATACATGTTGTTGTTCATCTGATTTATCATCAAGCCCAACTTTTGTCAGATATTGTTCATCTTTTTATTTTGAGCCCAAATCATATATTCAACTGTTCGAAATCGGGATGAATGTTGATAACCGGAACGAAGGCCGACTCACGAGTGGTATAAAATTGAATTTGAAGAATGAGCCTCTTGATTTCGGCTAAGGTGTTCTATCCGAGTTGAGTTGATGATTTGGAGTTGGATTCAAATTGATTTCCTATGTTTTTTATTCTCTATTTCAGTCGATTTCTAAGAGTCAAACACTGAAAGTCAAAATTAACTTTTGATTGAAACGTTGTGACTGAATCGATAGTGAAATCAAAAGTTGTTTTTCTTTGGAGTTGATTCAAGAGGATTCGTTCTTGGTGTTTGAAGAGTAATCGGATTTAATACTTGATTTGCTTTAGGAACGAATGTTAAATTTTGATGTCTAATGGTTACTCGATTTTGACACCAAACGAAGGTTAAATTTCGATGTCTAATGGTTACTCAATTTTGACTGGTTAATGAATATTGGTTGAAATTGAGTTAAGTATTGGTATTTCGAATGTTGGTCTCTAGCATCTGGGTACTTAATTTTGATCGATGTTGTTTACATCAAGAACAAATGTTGGGATTCAAGGAGTTCGACTGATTTTTAAATCAATCTCTGTTAGTTGTTTGGAATCGAATGTTTGTGATGTTGGAGTCAAAACTGACTTCGACTAATGAAGCATTGGAAGTGGACGGTGTTTATAGGGAGTATAATGGATGTATGTTTACTTGATTTTGAAGTCAAACTCGAGATGGATGTTGTCGATCGACGATTCAAAATGGGAGCATCGATAGTTTGGTTTCATATTGATGAACTGGAAAACGAAATGAGTTTATTTGAGTAGCGATGATCGATAGTCGGGTACGACCTGAGACTAATAAATTGAGGGTTTGATATCGAGTCATTGTTGATGAAAAACGAAGTTGCTGTTGATTATGATTTGGTTGATTATTTCTAAGAAGCGAAGTCAGTGATATTGCATTTGATTTTGTGGTTGCTTGGATGTCGATAGTCGAAGATTTCGATGGTCGACGATTGATGCACACCAGTTGAAGAAATTCGATTTGAGGAAAAAGGAGTTGATGCTATTGATAATGAAGATTTGGATGATTTTGATTTCGATGTATTTGGAATTGATGGATTGATTTTGAGGAAACGATTTGCTGATGTTAAGTTGATGTTGACGCAAAGCGAGGTTTTCTTAAAGTCGATGGAACAAGCTTGCTAACGAAGTCTTGTATTATTGATAGCGGAGGGCAGAATTTTTTCTGTTGATGTCGATGATTTTGGAAGATCTGTAATAACGAAATGTCGATTAAGTGTCTGAATGATTAAGAGGTTACTACCCATCCTTAGTTCTACAATATGCTAATAGCTTTAACTTGGTTTTATTTCCATGAGTCGAAAAATATTTAAGATACATATTCATTACTATAACAATTACAAACCAAACACCTATAAAATTAAGCATTCTGCTTTCAGTTCTTTGTATGTTTCTTGAACTAAGAACATCATAAGCAAGGTTACAAAGAATCAAGAAAGTGAATTTTAGAAACGGAATTCATAATTTAAAGTGACAGATCATTCAAGTCAAACGGAATTCATAAGCAGCTGGTTTGTACTGTACCTAGTGTTGTTGTCTGCCGGTCTCACCACCGGGTTACCCAATAAGTCTGCCTGCAACTTCACTTAAGCACATAATTAAGCTCTACAAAAACTAATGACAAATTAGATAACCAAGAACACAGGATCAGGAACAAGTAAACAGCGTAGGTGGAGTTAACTTGTGCAACCAACTCATCGATTTAACTGGAGGAACGAATGATTCCAAGACTCTCCCTGTGCCATTGCACTTTGCAGGGAATCTTTCCCGAGCTTAAAAGCTAAAGTGTTTGTTTTAACTGAATTATTTCTTCACCTGTTTGAGAAGTATATAAGCACTTGTTTGTAAGTGTTTTTCGCCTCTCATTTTGAACAAGATTGACCCAACATTGCTGCATGCTCAGCCCCTAAACGTTGGGAAATTGGGATTCCAGGAATCAGCCATCCTTTAATTTCTTACGTGACCACTAACCTTGAAACTGCTTACAATTTCTAGTAGAATGGATTTTGTAGAATCTTTAATTAATGTTTCTAATGTTTGATTCATCCCAATTAATTAAGTTTTTTCAAATTCATAAACATGGTTTTTGATGCATTAGAGATATTGCTGACATGTAAACCCTTTTCATACACCCACTTAAATTCGAGAACCTGCAGGAGGTAATGGTTCCAAGATGTATACATCGCCTTTCTCAACAGCTGCTTTCACAGCACGGGTGGAGTCAACTTGTGCAACTCTCTCTCTCTCTCTCTCTCTCTCTCTCTCTCTCTCTCTCTCTCTCTCTCTCTCTTCTCTCTCTCTCTCTCTCTCTCTCTCTCTCTCTCTCTCTCTCTCTCTC